AAAAAACTCGAAGGTCATGCTATCGGTCCGCTCCCACAGAAAGGCGCGCACAGCCGTGCGCGGGTAGCCAATGCGGCCAATCAGACCACAAGAGGACGCGCAGACAATCTCTTATAAGCCACTGTCCCCAGCAGACAGGGAGAGTTGCATCACACATCGGATAGCGAGGACACACTGGTCCGCTCCCAATGCCGGGACACGCCCCCGAGGCGGGACAAACAGCACGCTGGAGATCAACCAGCGGTAACAGCCACTCGAACCAACAACTCTGGGTTTTGTACACAATAAACCCTCCTCCGCGTGGATACCAGAACTATGCACTTCTTATTGTGTTCTTTCTTGGGGATTTCAACAGGGCGTAATTCGACGGGGACACACGTCAGATGTCCCCGTTAAAACATTCACGACTCGTCGTAATAATAAGGCGCGACCTACTAACAAGTCTAGTCTGGGCTGAGCCCACGCCGGTGCGTAACCTCGCGCGGTCGGACCAATCACCTTCAAGACTGCACGTGTCAAATATAGCTTTTGGTGGCCGCTCGGATTACTACCGTTCCAGATCATTTCGGACCTAACTCCCCTCGCGGCTGGACGTGCGCTCCGACAGTCAAAAATTCCTCCTAACTATTCTTCAATCCTTCTGTACGGAAAACAATCTTCCGACCACTCTGGCCTTCTCATGACTTCTCTCTTCTCCTAAGGAACCAGGCCTGGGAGATCGTAGCCGTTAGGGTTAATTCAACTAATCTAGACATTACTCGATACCGGATACCATACACTACTCAGCTTCTGGCCCTAATCTGCCTCTGTGTCTAGAACTTCTATCAGAGTAATGGCTCCGTGTCCTTCTCCCGCATTCACAGATTCACCTCCGTGGCTGACGCTACATGGCAAGCGCATGTCGCCCCCGTTCCCCTGGTGACAATTGTTCACTCCCTGCACGTGAAAGTGATTTTCCATCCACGTACTCGATCCACGATCACTCTTCAAAGTCTCCCCTATTTTCCCCCTTTTCCGGTCAGATGGCCTCTATATATTAATCTCAGCCTGCGGCTGGTGTGAGAAAGGATGAATTTTAATTATAAGGCATGTATAAACCTTGTCCAACTCTCCTTTTTTCATAATCAATGATAAATTGCCGAAAACATATGGTTGCCAAATATTATTTTCAAGTTAAACATGGGAATATTTGCAGAACTTAGAATTCAAACCTTTTGCCTAAAATCTAGCGATGGGAACGTTTCCGCAGATGGTCAAGCTTATGATCCAAAACTCCACATCGCTGGGGAGTCCAATTTCTGTGAGGGACAGGTTGTAGGAGAAGTGTTCAACTCTTGGTTTAGTGAAACAAGCAAACTAGGATCTCGCTTTCTAATAACCACCATAGTCAACCTCCTCTCGCTAGCCCCTGTGAAGTAGCCTTAGCGGTGAAAGCTAATAATGTTGATTCTGCCTAATCTTTCCCAACTCCAATCTAAATGGTGCGTATATGGCTAATCCCGGTGCTGTAAAAGTAGTACTTTGAATGATTCCTAGCCGTTGGGATGATTTCATCCTGCTGATCGTAGGCCAGTCGGTTGCTGCCATGCGTAAGGTCTGAACAGTCTACGTTTTCAGTCCCATCTCAGTCCTGTCTCTGAACCAGTTTGGGGACCGGAAGGAAGAACACTCTTACGGGCTATAATCCAGATCCCGCGCCGGCCACAACTGAAGCCTAGGTAGCGGAGTTTATCCTACAGCCCTAGTTTTCCCTCCCTCCCCCGACGTATGCTGCAGTAGGTGACTTAACTCATGCAAAGTTGTAATCGCAATTCAGTTTAGTAGATTAATGCAAATTTGGCCTTGTTAAGTTGATCTTTTGAATGAATGTGATGCTAAGATAGCCTTTTAATAAAAAACCGCATGTTCTTTCAATAAATTAAAGGAAAACAGGCGGGATTTTGGCAAAGACAGAGGTTGTGGGATATGCAAGAAATTTCCTATGCTATTTTATATGCCAGGACCAAACCGTTTATCCGGAAAGTGTGATATTTAGTCAGTGTAAGCCAGGTGAAATAAAGTGTTGGGAATCGCATTACTTTTCAGAAACAAAGAACGAATTCAGTTTTTAAAATTATTTTTTGTCAATTTCTCAGAGCAGGGCCTGTCGTTAATTAAATATACTGAACAACTCACCGATATAAAAAGAAAGGTGAGTTCTTTCATTTTCAGACAAAATTGCATCACTTATTTTCAGGAAAATCAAAAAACCGGTCAAAGTCCCAGATTTTTACCTTGATCTTACCCCGGAAGAAGTTAAGCTAAGCAAAGATTCGTCAGCTCAATACCTAATACAAGTGCTTTTTCAATAGGTCCCTTATTATCGAAGGTTTTTGCCTGATCATAGGCAAACCATTTTTTGTAGACGTTCATTTTTCTCTACAGGGAGTTTTGGTGTTAAGATGAGTCTACAAATACGCCCTAGATGACCATATTCATAAGAACTAAGATCCAAGCACTCTCTTTTTCAGTAAATACTTTTTACATATGCCATAGTTTGAAGTTAAATAAAAAGTCTTAAAAGACGGGAAAAGGAATAATCATCATCAGACTGTTAAGGACAGTATGAAACTAATTAAAATTCAATACCAGAAATACATATAAAGCAATTTTACAAAGGGAATGTCCTTTTGACATCTATAAAATGAAACATTGTTTTCTCGGAATAAAGTTGAACAAGGCGAAGATCACGAGTTGAGCAGGATGTATTGACGTCATACTATTGCGTGACCTCTAATTCATCTGCAAACGGTCATTGCCTGTTAATATAGTAAATTAACTGTCCAATTCGTGATCTTCGCCTTGTTAAAATCTACAAAATGGTATAAATAGCATTTCACCAGAAAGTTTTATTTACGTTTATTGGTCACAGTTACGCCGATTTCTCACGTTTTCAGAAATTGGGGCTTCTTTAATATTTCTAAGCAAAGTTTTTACTTTTTATATCTCCTTTAAGTTTTAAACTTGCATAAGTTTGTTTATTATTATTTTATAATTTTTTAACATGCTTTAGTGCCTTTTTTCGAGTGGTTACGAGTCCTTCGCAAATTTCGGCAATTTGCATTAGATATATCCTATACCTGTGGATGCGAGCGTTGATTTGTGTTAAGCCTCGTGCAAACGTTTTACTAGTCGCTTGTGCAACCAAGCAGAACCTTCAAGGGTGACTTACCACAGTCGCTTCACTGTAGAAGATTATGCTGGTATGCAAGCAGCGGCGCCGCGCTTCCAAGCGATCGATAAACTCCCAGATGTACTTCTCTGAAGTGGAGAAACGGCGCACTAGGTCCATGTAGGTGCTCTGAACTTCTACCTCGACATCGCCGTCCTCTGCAAAGCTGAACACTGGTTGGCCCGTTGTGGGCGAGGTGTGTGGGCTGTGTGGCAGTGTTATTTGGTGCGTCTGCTGCATGAGACGAGAGTGAGCTCGTTGCATTTCTCGGGCGTCACTCATTAGACCCATCAACTTCTCCATGGCGAGTTCACAGTCCTCTAGGTTGGTTTCTGGCGTTATACTGGCCAACTGCGGCTCACCGTACTACAAAGGCGAGGATAACAGGTTTTATGAAAAAAGGATTGTATAGGCAGTTTCTTTAATGTAAGAAGCTTTTACGTTTTACTTCATAAACTGCTATGCAATATCAGACACCCATAAAACACAATTCATCTGTCCATGTTCATTTTCAAAGTTAAAATAAACTGCCTAATCGCTGTGCTTATCAGATGGCCGAAATAGTCATTTAACTTATAAAATGTTTGTGTAAGCGTGCATGGATTCCATTTGGACTGTTGCTCGATGTGAGATCCAATTAATGACTTTTTA